ATTTTATGCATCACTTTTAAAAGTCACATTTCCAAAGCCCTGTCAAACTGACTCTCAATCTTGGATTAGCAGTGGTTGCATTGGGTTGATAAATGATTAATTGATTATGTTGTAAAGGTATGTTGAGAGAAAGAAAATAAAAAAAATACAAAACATTAGGTTTTAAAAAAGAAATAAAATAATAAAAGAAAGAAAGAAAAAGAAATGAACCTTAATTAAGTTTATGACCATGAAAAAACAGAAAATGAATCTTAATATATTACTTAGTTTTTATAACTTTTTAAACTATGAAATTGTTATTTCTACTTTTCTATAATTTATTTTAATTTTTTAAAATAGAATTAAATTAAGAATTTAAGTAAGCATAATAGTTTCTATAATAAAATCAATTGATATAATGTGCAATCATTAATCGGAGTTCAAGAATTATTTTAAAATCAATTTCTTTTTTTATAATCCGAAAACATATATAGAGGTTTAATTATTTTTTTCTGAAAAGTTCAAGAAATAATTTTTTTATATATTGTAAGTATAATTTTTATACGATATAAATATATAATATATAAAAGGTTTAAAGTAAAGATAGGTATTCAAATTATGTATTCTTTCTGTTTTTAAATTATTTTTTGGTCAAACTAAGTACTTAAACTATCATATTTAAACATTTTAAGCCTTATCATTTTTTTAGTTAGAAAAATATTTTTTGACAAGTAAGAGGTTGACACGTCACACAAAATTATGTACTTATTTTGATAAAAAAAATAATTTAAGGGCTTAAAGTAAAACAGAGTCATAATTTTAGGACTTATTTTGATCAAAGAATAGTTTAAATACTTAAAGTGGTTGTATATAATAATTTAAGGATTTAATTTGACGTACTTAAAAAAAAACATAATTTGAGTACATGTTTTTGGGTTTAAGCCTGTATAAAAAACAACATAAAACAATATATTATAAAGTTATCAAACAAGTCTAGCTTGAGCCTGAGTCCAGCCCAGATTACAAGTGGACCTAAATTTTTCATCCAAACTCATTTTTTGGATCGCATATTTTCGTACAAATCTTTTCAAAATTTAGATATCTTTGAACTTAGACAAATAACCTTACTAATGAACAGAACCAGTTTACCATCATCATATTAGGCTTCATATAAATTGCAAAAAACAATCCAAATTTAATAGACACGAACTCCCAAGTAGATATAATTCGTGTAAAAAGCGATACGAATAAAGGAACAATTATAATAATGATTTTGAGATTGAGATATAGTTTCTAACAATTAGATTGAAATTTTAGACGCGTCATTTCGACGAATAGTTTAAGGACTACTTTGATAAAAAAGAATAGTTTAAGGACTGCTAGTTTGTTGTATAGTGACTAAACCTATAGATTACTTCTAATGTCTTGAACTTTTACAATTATGGCAGTTTTAGGTTTTAATGGACATAGCTAGTCAGCTCAGATTCATATTTACAGTATATGTTCATTTCAATTTTCGGCTGTTATCATATAAAATCACTTTATGATTTTCGGGTGTTATTTTGGCAACTATTTCCATCAACAAAGCGATCGTGTCAACATCAAACTTGAGTACTACCCCTAATTCAAAAACATGATTGAAGTACTATTCTAAAATAAATAGTTAGTATTTGATTGGAAAAAATAAAATAAAATAAAACTCGAGCTTAATTCGATCTTTCAAAATTTGATACACTTAAAATCTAAAGTACCGTTAGTACAATAGTATTAACCATCTCATAATTTCATCGACAAAGTAATAAAAAATTTCAGTCAAAACTTGCAGTATCGCTAGGACCAAAAATTTGAAGATCCTGCAAAGTATACTTCAAAAATACTGCTGGTTAATATGATCCTATAAATTAAAAAGTCAAACTTAGTCAATCAAAAGGTCCAACATGTTACCGGTCAAGACATACTAGTCACAATCAAACTAGGTCGGTCAAAAATATAGTCAACGGGTCAAATTGGGCCTCCAAATGGGTACGATCAATGGGTCAAACTGAATTAGTCAAATGGGTTTATCAAATGATCAAACGAGACTGAACAAGTTCGGGTCAGAGGATGTTCAGATTAGTGCTAGACTAGAGTTTATTTTAGGTCGCTCAATTCGAGTTGGATCAATCCAAAATCAATGGGTCAAGAATTGGGCCAAGTGTAGGTCTTTGTCTCTGAATGATTATGGCCCAAGACTGAGCACTACTCGACTATAGGTTGACTTTACAGATTAATTGGGCTCACAATTGGATATGAGCTAAATAGACTAGGCCCTAACATAAGTGGGTCATGTTGAAGGATTGATTATCGAATTAAATAGCTATTGGTTTGGGTCGTTTGGTTTTGGGCCTAACTAATTCTCATTGGTTTGGGATGATGATCTTAATGGGCTAACATATTTGGGTTAACTTGTTGGGTATCATTTGACAATGGGACCCATTTCATTTAGGGCTTTCTGATTTGATTGGTTAGGTCAACATGTGGATTGGTAGCAACAAATATTCTCGATGGTGCATGTAGCGCATGATAATAGAAAAATAAAAATAAAGAAAAGAATAAAAAGAAAAGAGAAAAGAAAAGAAGAAACTTCTTACTAAAAAAAGCCTCACACGATAGTTATCGCGGTGACAATAAAGAATATTGAGATATGCCTTCTCAACTCACATGATAAACGAATGACATGATATCATAGTAATTAAGGTTTTTCTTGCAACGAATAGTTGAAGCCAACAATAGCCTTTGATGGCTCGATGGATAAAGGAAAACAATGTTCGAGGCTTCGTTAAAAGAATGATGAGGGAGTGAAAAAGAAAATTTGATAGTCGAAACAAAAAAAAAAAATCATCAAGGTATTTATAAACCCATACATAACACCAAATGTCCTAGCGCAATTGGTAAAAGAAAGATAGAAAGTAAAGGACGCATTCGGGAAAATCAACATGTAAACTCTACACTTCATATAATTCTTTATTTAAAAATGTATTTTTTTACATTCATTTGATGTAATTGCAATTTATTAACGGAAGCTAAAGCAAACAAGGAACGAATGGTTGAGATTTTAGTCATAAGAGAGTAGGTATCAGAAAAATCTATCCCATGTTTTTAGCAGACTCCTTGGCTACTATTATTGCCTTATATATTCGTATTGATCTATTTGGTCGAAATTTCTTTTTAAAGACTCATTTATTATTGATTGATCTAAATCTTTTAGGTAAATCTACCAGTTCTCATGTATGATTATACATAATTTTAATTCATCTTTTATAGCATCTCTAAAAAAACTATCATCAATAAATCTTATAGCCTCGTTATAAGTTTTTGTATCTTCAGCTATTTGGATTGTCTAAACTATAAGATCAGAGAACAACTTTAAATCACTTATTTCAGTTACGAAGGAAGTGATAAAGTAATAATTTTTAATTATTTTATTTGAAGGTAAAATAAAATTACAAATCAATAGTGAAAAATTACATAATAATAAAAATACTCGACATTTATCTTTTTCATTTGTATCTTTGACGTTGTGATGCTACGTTAGTAGAAATATTAACCTTGAATTAACCAAAAAATATTACTTAGTTAAAAAAATGAAATATTTAGCCGCTCTTAACTTTTTCAGGCCGCTCTCCCCTCCCCCCATTTTTTTTCTGACTTTGTGTCGTTTTTTAAGATCAGATCAATTTTTTATTCTTTGATTTTGTTTAGTCGGCTGTAGTACTGACTTTGATATTAGTTGCTGATCATCGACTTTCTTTTCTCTTTTTTTATTTTTTAATAAGAATAATTGTGACTTTGTGACACATTTATCTATGCCTTTGTGACATACTTTTTTGCGTTTTTCTCGATCGTTTGACTATTTTTTATTTATGTTTTCTCAGGATTGAATTTGATTAAGTCACGACTAATCAATATGACACTTATTTGAAATCTTGCTGATCTTCTTTGCTATGGACCTTTGGATTGAATTTGGATGCGCGATTTTACGTTCGTGGATAGTTTCTCACAATGCTCGACTCCGATTTACGGTTTTCGGTGGTCCTTCAATAGTTTAATTCCCTTTTATGGTTTGTTTTGCAGATATAATCAGATTTATTAATATCTATTTTTATTCGAGTCTTTTGGCTGGGTTTTTAACATTTTCTATGTATAGTCTTTATATAATCTAAAGTGACTAGTTTCGATATATAGGAAAAGTTGAAATTATGTATTTAGTTTACGATGATAGTTGTAAACTTATTGTAATTTCAGATATTTTTACATTTTAATAATACTAGCAGGTTCTATCAAAAAATGAAATATTTCAATTACAAAAGATTAGACAAAATTGTAAAAGTTACAAATGCTGAGGATTTGTTTTACTATTATACGAATAACATATTATTCAGTGACATTGACCTCGGGTTTAGATTCTAAAAGAAAAAAAGACATTCAATCTCGATTCGAGAGAGAAATCCCTCCATTCCCATTTAAAATCAGTGTATGGACATTGCCATGAATTTTCCCTCTCAATTCCCAAGCTTAGGTTTGGTATATATCAAATATCTGGCCCACGAAACAACTATCAAACTTTTGTTTTTAAATTGCAAAATCAAATGCACACCACTAGACAAATCCAACTTTATGAAAATCTTCCCAGCAATAGAATCGTAATATAAATCAGATGATGCATTTTTTTGAATATTCCAACAACGCTCAAACTTTCCCCGTTAATTTTGTACAAAGTTATATTTCGGCAGCACCAAGGAATCTTTGGAGTGCAAGAAGACAACTTTATCTCTCTTCTTTCCACGAAACAAGAGAAAAGAAAGCAAAAGCTAGACAGTATATACCACATCACTGTCGAAATAGATCATAATGGGAACACAGTTTTGCTACAGTTTTCTTCAAACACTTTCATGCTTATATGGAGCGAAATAGATTATAAAAAAAAATATAGACATCTAAAATATATAGTAATTTAAAATTTTCTGTCAGATCGTCCGCATCTGTCCATCCCTGGAGTTGATCATCTTCCTTCCGGGTGCAATGGGAATAGCTCTAGAGTTCTGGTCTCCTCCTCTTTGAATGACGATCTGCTGTCTTCTTCCATGCACACAAATGACCACCTCCTGCATTTTCTCTTACATGAACTATCCTCGTCTCTTTCCATAGTTATGGTGGTAATTGGAGCGGAGTTTGTAGTGAAATGGCTAAGCCCCCCAAGGCTGTTGCGCTTCTGCTTTTGTCTGTCGCGTGCTTTGTGGTTTTGAAACCAGTAGAAAACGTTCTTGCCTTCGATCCTGCCGTACTTGCCTAGCAGTGCGGTGATTTGTTCAATCTGTCGTGCATTTGGAGTTCTCATCCCTCCTCTATACATCATCTCCAGAATCCCAATCTGCTCTTGCGTTGGATTCCATCTCGTACCTCCTGCTTGCATGTCCACCTACATAAAATTGAAACGAAAGATTGTCAGCCAACTACATGAAATGATATTAAAGGTTGTGAAGTAAGCTATAAGAGTGAAGGGTACATAATGTTACCTGATGAGAATGTGGATTTGTAGGGGTAATTTTGGGTGTAATGAAGGTGTTAAGGTGGAAAGAAGAGAGGGTATCATCATCGGATGAAGGGTGAGGAAGAGGGTTTAAGGGCTTGCAGGAGAGGGATGGTTCGAGCTCCCAAAACCCACGTCCCAACTGATGCACCTTCATGTTTTCAATTGCCAAGGAGTGAATAATGGACAGAGTGGTTAATTATATAGAAGATAAAGCATATAAAAAATTAAATCATAACCCAGACAAGAAGAGAAAAGTGGGATATGAGGTTGTTCTTTGGACTACCAAGGCCAAATGATTATGTGAGGTTGACTTGTGATTTCCCATATTTTAAAGAATCAAGATGAGAACAAAAATTATATCAAAAAATTGAAATAGTGAATCCTAAATCTTTTGATACAAGATTAATTTTTTTTAATAATATAGCATCATTATATGATAATTTTTGGTTAAATTCTTTATAGTTATTAATGACGTACATAACTTGTAGATATAACTGTATCTATTTTTTCTCTTTTAAACAACTCAATAAATTTATGATTATTATATATTTAAGTTCACTCAAATTTTTAAATTTAAATAATAATATAATAATAATAATAATTAATTTGATATTTAACTTTTTTTAATAAAAAATTAATTTCACAACTTTTTAGATAAAATAGTAATATTTAACTGAAAAATCCTTTTAGACTCACCAATAGAGGTGTATTCAGTTCAGTTTGATTTTTTCATGAAAATAAGAATCAAATCACACTTTGCGGGTTTCTAAAAATAAGAATCAAAATCGAAACATAATTGTATAAAAACCACGATTTTCTGTTAGATTCAATTCGGTTCGATGATTTTTACTGTTCATTATTTTTCAAACTCAACCTCATATATATATATATATATATATATATATAAAGCTTAAATTGAGTGCAAATATATAAATTTAAATTTATAAAAAATAGTATTATCTTATAATTTATTTATTTAACTTTATCTTATAATAAATTCAAAATGAATGTGTTTTGGAAACTTATTATCTATTAGTTTTTAATTCGATTTAATTCGATTCAAACGGTTTCCATATGAAAAAATCGAAACTGAACCGAATTGCATATTTATTTTTTAAAACCAAACTAAAATCAAACCACAAATTAAAAAATCCAAACTAAACCGAATCAAATAATCCGATTCACATCAGTTTTTTGATTTTCTTGATTTCATTGCTAAACTCTACTCACCAGTGAGATGAGATTAAGCTAACGCGCCTCAATATTTTAACAAGTGCTAGTGGAGCAACTAGTGTTTAAATAATTAGTTTAATGAATAAAGTACATAAATGATCCTCTAACTATAACATATTGCTTTATTAAGTTGTATGACTATTAAAAGTTATAAAATAACCCTCTGACTATAATGAGTTGCTTTGTTGAGTACTTTGACTATTAAAAGTTACAAATGTAATATCCCAAACATCGGGTCAGTGACTAAAGTGTAATGATTTAAAATTTAGTGGTTAAATTTTGATAAATAGAAAAGTTCAAGGACTGATTTCGAAAATTTTGTATAGGACTTATTATCAAAGATTAAAGGTTGGAAGGGTAAAATGGTCTTTTGTCATGAAATGAATTAAAAATTTATTTTAAATGTTATTTAAGCATGTGGGAAATGAGGAAAAAGGAAAGAAGATTTTTGGATACTCTTCATCTTCTCCTTTCTTCTTTCTTCCACCGTATGCACCATGGTTAAGGTAAGTAAATGGAAGTTGGTTAATTCTTTCATTTTTGGGTTGGTTATGAAGTCTTGAGTGGTATAGCAGTTTAAGGAAAGCTTAAGGATGAATATAACTAAGAGTTTGGTGAATTAAGGATGAATTAGTAAAATGAGTTTTTAAAGGAATTATTGAAAAATGATTAATATTTGGATTCTAAAGGAATATTTGACTTGTCAAGGGTTGGAATAAGATGTTAGAAGTGTTAGAAAGGATTGAGAATATGTTTGAAGAATTGTTATGATTTTTAGTTTCAAGAGTTTTATGGAAGATTTTAGATGTTAAAGGGATTTTAATGGATATAAGTTAGTGGGAATGAGTGTAAATGAGTTTGAAGGCATGAATAGAGTTAAGGTTAAGAGAATTAAGTGAAATTTGGGTAAAGTTCAAAATAAAATATATAAATTTTGCGTAATGGTATCGGTACTGGAAGAACAATACCGATACTATAAGGTTAAATTGAAGGAAAATGTATGAATCCGATGAAAATTATCGATACTGATGTGGAGGTATCGATACCAAGAGTAAGATATCGATTCTGTAATTGAAAAAGAATTCCAGAATACCAAAATGGTATCAGTACTGAAGTAGGTATCAGTACCATAAAAGAGAAGTATATGTACTATGGGTAGAGTACCGATACTAAGGGTATTCAGATCCAATCCGATCCAAAAAATATCCGAAAACCGATCCAAAAAAATAATAACCAAAAAAAACTGAAACGATTTAGTGTGTTTGGTTTTTTTAAAAAAAACGATCGGTTCAGTTTGGTTTCGGTTTGAAAATCCAGAACCGATCCAAACTGAACCGAGCCGATATCTATTACAATGAAGTGTAGTCTGTTACACAATTTGAAATGTTCAACATAGTGTCTATTACACTATAATCTGAATTACTAAGAGAAAATTATTCAAGTGAATCTATATGCAAATTAGGGCATTATAAGAATTAAATTAACTTGCATTAACCATTCCTATGTTCTAAAATGTTGCTGCAAGAGCCTAGAAAACAGTTTTCCATGAACAATTGCAATTAATTCTGTTAGTTAACTTACCATTTCTAGTATTTACCTTGTTTGATATGGACAGATTGTTTATAGATTTGTGCCAAACTTGATATGTGTTTGTTCTTTTTTTTGATTTTTTGATTGTTTGTTTTGCTGATCTATGTATATTAGTTGAGAATTCAATTGAAATTTGATGGATTTAGCAATTTTGATGAGTTGCCTGAGATTTTGGTTGGGAGCTGATATTGTTCCTTTTATGTTCATTAACGGTGTTTATTCGATCAATGTTAGCTTAGGATGTGAAATGGTGAAACTATTTGACCCCCTTAGGCAGTGTTATTACTTTGAATTATTTTGAAAAATTAGAATCCAAAAATCGCATAAATCCAAACTGAATCAAACCGCATTTAATTGGATCGGATCAGATCAGATTTTTTAGAAACATCCAAACTGCAAACATTTATACTTTCGGATCGGATGAAGTTTTAGCCAAAAATCAATCCAAACCGATTGCGAACACCCCTAACCGATACTATTCAGCCTGAAATGTTAAGTTAGGTGTTCCATTTTATTCAAGTAAAAGTTAATTGGCTAGATATAATTGAGCTCCGATTTCATGGGTTATATTAATGTGTAGATGTAATCGGAAGCAAGTGCTGAACGAATGGACGTGTAAAGTTAGTAAGCTAAAGTGAAAAGGATGTTTCCTTACGACTTAAGTGAGGAAAATGTGAGTGCATTTTATTTATGTTTTAAAGTATGGCATGAGGAAGACTTGCGATGTATCGACTTCAGATGATTTGGAAAGAAATTGTTTTCAAATTGTTCTATGTTATAAATATTTTACATTGTGTTGTTAATGGTTCTTTGAATAAATTTTGGGTATGAATTACCCAATCTATTTTATATGATAAGTTTGTTTTAGTATATGTGAAATATTTTAATTATATTGTTTATATGAACGATTTCTATAGAGAACAATAAATGATGTTGAATTAAGCCAAGGTATGAATATATGTTATAAGTGAATATATGCTATGTGAAAGGAAATACTATGAGAATAACTTCCATGTGAATAAATGTTAAACTTGGATAATGCTACGTGAAATTTGTTCTAAGTGAAAATGTCCTACGTGAAAATACCCTATGAGAATTTACTCCATGTAAATAAAACACACTATGAATAATGAGATAAAAAAATAATTATATGGTTAAAGTCCAAAGTATATTTTATGAGAATTAGGGTTATAGTTGGCATGCCAAGATTCGAGGGTTCTACGCGGTCCTTTGGGACAATTCTATGTGGTCATTCGGGACAATTCTATGTGGTCCTTTGGGATAATTCTACGTGGCGCTTCGGTGCAATATATATGAGCAGTGGCAACTACATTTGAGCTCAACCTCAATGTACTTGCATACCTTGAGTTCTCAGGGATATATATTGGGATAAATAATTAATAAATGGCTATAAATTTAACAAATTGATATGGAGTGAAAAGTGTATAAGTGTATATGTATTTATATGAAAGGTAAATTGATTATAAGTTGAATAGTGAATAAAAGCCTATTCTATTTAAATGAAACATAAATTGCATTTAATAGTAAGTATTTTTCTTTGAAAAGTTTAAATAAATATTTTATGATTTTATTTTACTCTTAATGCCTCACTAAGTCATAGACTTAGCGTGTGATTGTTTTCACACGTAGGTTTAAAGAGCTTCGAGGAGTAAGTTGGTTAAGCAAGGGTAGGACAATATACTTGTGAAGACTTTCAGATCAGCTAAAAGTTGAATTGCATGTGTCTTGGTTATTTGAAATGTTGTTGGCATGTACTCATAATGTTTTAAATTGTAGATGCTCTGATATGTTTTGTAAATATGTTTTCATTTTCAAATAAAAGTTTAAAATTTTAGTCAAATTTTTGAAAAGTCAAAGAGTTTAAAAGTCAATGTGATATCTCAGACGCGTATCCGGGTCGGGTATAGGTTGAGGTGTTGCATCTATTGGTATCAAGGCTAAGGTTGAGTCAAGTTTTCGAAATAGATCGGCTGGTCGACTGTAAAAAATGTTTGGTTTGTTCATGCCAATGAAATAACAAGTATCTCTGATCTGATAGTGTAATTAGTATGTTGTCCTTGCTAATAGAGTTATGTGATTTGATATTAATATATATATATAATACTAAGAGGTCTTCTGAAGTGAAATGAGAGATAGAGTTAAAGGGAAAAGTATTAATTAGGCAAAGTGAACAACAAATACCTCATGGAGTATTTTTTCTGGAAGTTGGACATAATTCTAAAACATGCCTAATCAAATATTTCCCCAGTTATTAGAAGAAATGTAAGTAAAGAGTTAAAAAAGTTTAGAAGCTCCCGAGTTTAAGGGAGAAGCCGAGGAAAGTTTTGTTTC